TAAATGTGATTAAACTTTAGTCTATATTCAGTGTATTAATCGTTTTTTTTCTCTCTCCATCCCTCTTCCCTCCCTGTTTCATCCTACAACAACTTTCCCTCCGCCCTTCTTACTCAAATCTCCCTTCTCCCTCATAATAACCTTTCTCTTTTCTCCCTCATAATTCCCCTTCTTCTCCATCTCTATCTCATAAACCCCCTTCTCCCTCTCCCTCCATAACTTCCACTTCTCTATTTCTCCTCATAATCCCCTTCTCCTTTCCCCTCCTGATTCCGCTTTCTTCCCATCATCTCCTCTCTCCTTTATCTACAACCCACCCTCTTCCCCTTGTTATTACCTCATCCCCTCATTCCTTCCATCTCTCTTCTCATAACCCTTCCTCCCCTTCCCTTCCCTCCCTCCTCTTCCATCCTTCCACCCTTCTCTCCCTCCTCTCACCTCCCTTCCCTCCCTCCTCCCTCCTCCCACCCTCCCCTCCCCCCTCCCCTCACCTCCCTTCCCTCCCTCCTCCCTCCCTCCTTCCTCCTCCCTTCCCTCCCCTCCCCTCACCTCCCCTTCCCACACTTCCCTCCTCCCCCCCCCCCCCCCCCACAGGTAAGAATCAACCTCGGCGCCGGTGAGTCGGAGCTGTCGTCGCCTCCGAGACTCCGCTTAGACGACCTCCTGTGGCACGACGTCCGCATCTCCCGCAGTACCGCCGACATGTCCCTCACCATCGACAACATCCATACGACCAGTGGGTGGGTGGGTGGGGTTGAGGTGGTTAAGAGGATGGGTGGATGGTGGTGGTTGGGGTTGGGGGTGGGTGTGGGTGGGTGGGTGGTTAGGGAGGATGGGTGGGGGTGGTTGGGTGGTTGGGTGGTTTAGGGTAGGTGGTTAGGGAGGGTGGGTGGGTGGGGTGGGGTTGGGGGATAGGGTGGGTGGGTGGGTGGTTAGGGAGGGTGGTTAGGTGGTTGGGTGGGTGGGTTATGGGGGTAGGGGTTAAGGGGGGTCGGGGGTTTGGGGGGTTAGGGTTTTGTGGTTTGGGGGATTTTCGTGTTCTTTCATATTTTTTCTTTCTTTCTTCCTTAACTCCTCCATTCCTCTTTCTCGATCCTGTCGTCCTCGTCCTCTCTTCCCTTCATTTTCTTCCTCTTTTCTCCTCCTTTTTTCTTCTCTCTTCTTCCTCCACCTTCTCCTCCTACTGCTCTCCTCTTCTTCCTCCTTCTCCTCCTCCTCGTCCTCTTTTCCGCCTCCTCTCCTCTTTCTCCTCTCTTTCCTCCTTTCCTCCTCTTCCCTTTAAAAATGTAGACATAATTATATCCTAATAAATGTGTGATCCGTGTAATGTTATCACCATACATTATGATTTATTAAATATTTTATTTTAGATATGATTAAATATTTTTAAAATCTCATTTAGCTATGGTAATCATTCAGTTCCCTCTGATATTAACATTAACTATGCTTATGCAATATTCGCTGTCGGGTCCGTGTGCATAATTCATTAACATGTTATTAATTCAACATTTTTATTTTAACAGTCCTAGTCATGTTTAGAAAATGTCGAAAGTTGTTAAAACATTAAAGCGGAGGGTTAAACTATTGAATGCTGTTTAAATACGAAAGTGCTTTGTGAAGATACTCATGTTCAAATATTTAAAAAATGTGAACATTTTTGAAGCGTGAGATCAGACGATGAAAAGAGATACTAAATTGATAATAAGGACAAGGCATTTGCACCCTTATGCATAATGTAACAAATGGTTACGATGGAAAGTGTGTAACATCATCAATAACAACAACATGAATGATAACAATAACAGCAACCATAATAATAGCAATAGGAATTACGTCAATAATAATGATATCAACAACAACAGCAATAGTAATGATAACAACAACAACAGTAATAGTAATGATAACAACAACAACAACAGTAATGATAGCAACAACATTAACATTAATGACAACAAAAACAACAACAGTCTATAGCAACAATGAAAATAACAATAACAACAACAATGAACGGTATTCATTGTGACAGGTGTAGAAAAGGTATGAATGGGAGAGAATGGATATATTTACAACACAAACTTAACCGATTTCGAATACATCTTTGCCAGAAATACCTGTATCATAGACGAAGATATATATTCCATGCCGGTAAATATCTTGTATTGTGAAGATATTCATTCTCATTCATGCCTCCTCCTTCTTCTTTCTTTCTTTTTTTCTCCTTCTTCTTCTTCTTCTTCTTCTTCTTCTTCTTCTTCTTCTTCTTCTTCTTCTTCTTCTTCTTCTTCTTCTTCTTCTTCTTCTTCTCCTCCTCCTCATCTCTCCTCCTCCTCCTCCTCCTCCTCTCATCTTCCATCTCTTCTCTCCATCACCTTCTCCTCTCTCCTCCTCCTCCTCCAACAAACAAAGGAACAACACAAAACAAAACGTAGATGTGGACCAATAAATACAAATTCCGATTTTTTTTTTTTTTTATAGAAACACCCGAAAATTATCGGAAAACATCAAAGAAATTCGGAACGGATATCCGAAGTAATAAAATAAAGCAGTAACAGAATATCAGAGATCGAATTATTGGCATTTCGAATATTCTTTTTAATCACAAAAAAAAAAGAAAAATAATAATACCGATTCTGTCATTTTAATTTTAATTTTTAATGGTAATTTAGTTTTGACCTTATATCCTTCTTTTACAAACTAAAGGTTATTTTCGTTATGTTCATCATAGAGTGATGATAAGATATATTGAGTTTGATACAGAGTTTTATTATTATTTATTTTTTTAATAGAAAAATCGAAATGCATGATTTACATAGTGAAGAAGTGAAGCAACATTCACGCGCACACACGCACGCGCGCACGACACACACACACACACACACACACACACACACACACACACACACACACACACACACACACACACACACACACACACACACACACACACACACACACACACACACACACACACACACACACACACACACACACACACACACACACACACACACACATTTCCTCTTACAAAAAAATATTGAGAATCGGAAAATGGATCTATATGATTTTATTATCACCTCTCTCTCTCTCTCTCTCTCTCTCTCTCTCTCTCTCTCTCTCTCTCTCTCTCTCTCTCTCTCTCTCTCTCTCTCTCTCTCTCTCTCCTCTCCCTCTCTCTCTCTCTCCCTCTCCCTCTCCCTCTCCCTATCTCTCTCTCTCCTCTCTCTCTCTCTCTCCCTCTCTCTCTCTCTCTCTCTCTCTCTCTCTCTCTCTCTCCTCTCTCTCTTCTCTCTCTCTCTCTCTCTCTCTCTCTCTCTCGTATTGGCTGTGTTTTATCGGGTTCGAGATTGTGTGTTTTATCTCGCATTTTCCCTCCGAAAACCGCCCTCCGCCGGAACGTGATTGAGAGAGAATGGAAACACTTGGCTTTGGAAATTGTAATGTTTTGGGACTGTTGATTCACGTCTTTGTGTTTGCACAGCCATTAGCACGGGTAGATGCGGGTATACAGGGGCATACGCACATGCTTGTCCGTTCGCACACGCACACACGGTCAAACGGACGCAAGGACACGCCCACAAGCTCTTGCTTTCTTACTTATTTTTCCTCACTCTCATTCTCTCTCACTCACTCACTCACTCACTCACTCACTCACTCACTCACTCACTCACTCACTCACTCACTCACACACACACACACACACACACACACACACACAACACACACAACACACACACACACACACACACACACACACACACACACACACACACACACACACACACACACACACACACACACACACACACACACACACACACACACACACACACACACACACACACACACACACACACAACACACACACACACACACACACACACACACACACAACACACACACACACACACACACACACACACACACACACAACACTCACACTCTCTCTCTCTCTCTCTCTCTCTCTCTCTCTCTCTCTCTCTCTCTCTCTCTCTCTCTCTCTCTCTCTCTCTCTCTCTCTCTCTCTCTCTCTCTCTCTCTCCCCTTTCTGTCCCTCTCTCTACATCAGAGGCTTTACGAGCTGAATAAAAATAAAGATAATTAACAAAAAACATTGCAATCTCAAACACGCGGTGCACATAAAGAATAAAAGTAAGAGTAAAAAAAAAAAACATAATCATACACATTTTTTCTACTTCATTGTTTCTATGACTCATTTATCTCGGGTGCTGAAAAAAATAGTAGTTTAAAAAAGAGCGATTATACTTTTTTTGTTATTTTTTATTTGCCTCATCGATGAAAGATAATGAGAATGATGATGATATGAATAATATGGATAACGATAACGATAAAAATGATAATGGTGATGAAGATAATGATAATCTTGGTGATAATGAATAGATGATAATCGTGACTTTCATGATGATAATGACAATTATAAAGATGATGAGGATAATCGTGATGATAATGGAAAGTATGAGTAAATATGATAACGAGAATAATACATTAACAAACCAAATATAAAACATGCCACACTAACACCAAACAAAAAACAACAACAGTCCCCAAAATAGAATTAAACCCCTAAAACAAATAAGAAAAAAATACATAAAATAATCCAGATTAATTTTAAAAAGCAGACGAAACATAAAGATGACTTCCCAACCAGAAAATAAATATTCAAAAAATAGACAAAAAATAGAAATGACCCCCTACCAGAAATAATGATAAAAAACGAACCAAAAAAAATACCTAACTACCAGTAAAATTAAAAAAAAAAAAACAGGAAAAAGTAAGAATGACCTTTCCAGAAAAAATATGAAAGCACAAAAATTTAATATGACACCCCTAACAGAAAAATGAAAAACAAAATTGACAAAAATATAAACGACCTCCGTTGCATAATAATAATAATGATAACAATAATAATAACAATAATAATAATAATGATAAAAAGGACAAAAAAAGCTATAACCTCCTCCCTCTCTCTCTCCCCGCAGACT